ATCGCTCCCATTTTCAAGAAAGGATCTCGCAACGATTGCGAAAACCACGGCGGGACCAGTTTGAGCAGAATCGTCATACTTCGACGTCTGACTCATTTAAGAGAGATACTATACTCACACCTCTGGTCGAGTGAGGGTTTACGAGGAACAAAGTGGGTCGTTCGTTACCATCAGCAGTGTATATCTATATGTATAGATCACACCGGCTTGAGGACAAGCATGGTGCGAACGCAACCAGAATGATGAAATTTAGCAAGTAGTATAGATTGATGACAGGAAAACGAGAAGAACGAATGAATGAATTGACAATTTTTTTTAGTTTCACCGTACAAATTTTCTGAAGCTTTTGTCGATTGTGGGGAATTGGATTTCGACAGAAAAACTGCACAACAATCGTGCCGATGACTTCTATTCTGGGCCACATCTCTCAGCGTCTCCAGCCATTGGTAATCATCCCTTGGGCCCCGACATGGAAGCTGGGCTACACCAACCGAAGCCAATGTTGAAGCTAACTTTTTCATGGTCTGACCGCCTCAGCGCTTCTTCCAGCCTTGCTCGGTACGTGCAAAGAGAGCACAGAAAGGAAGTCGATGGGCAGGCATATGCAATAGGTGACCAAGCCATCGGAGGCGGTGTAGAGCGATTACTTCTGTTAGAGAACGACTGTCTGTACCCAGCACACGACGACAAACTTCTTCCCACTCGACACGAGCAATGCTTCGAACCGATCACTGGTTGAATACAGAAAGTTGATTAGCATCCTTAACGCAGGGGGGCCAGGTCTCGCAACTGTGGAACAGAACACTACGAAACGCGATGTACACCTTTCCCTTAAGGTAGGGTTGGATGTCATGTGGGTGTTGTCGAGTCTCCCTTCGCTCTGCAACTCGTCAGTTTATCGATCGTGGATTTTTCCCGCGCATGTTCATTCCTGTTTGTCTATTACGAAACACCACTTACTATCTTGTTTCGAGTGGCCAGTGAAGAGGTAAATGTGAATGAACAAAGGAAACAGTATTGTCATTCACACATGATCGTTCAAGTTATGTTTTCATTCATATCTATTAATACTAATGAAAGTGGTATAAATCCTGCGATCATATATCACAGAATGAGGAACCGCGTGATGGAAATATTCGGCAAACAGTGACGAGGTGAGTCATCTTGTGTTGGGCGCTGATAATCGTTCTCTGACAGAGGGAATCACTCTCTACACCGCTTCCAATGGATCATGCCTACCCGACGTCGAACTCTCTGTGCTCCATTATAAAAAAAACAATAGCGAACAAGCTTGTTTGTATTGATTCGTGCACAACCTCATACATCACAACTCATGTTCAAATGCTAAGTCGCGAGAAGAACCCAATGATCGAATGAGAAGAAAAATAATCGGCATTCCAGTTCCACGACCGGATGGATGTTGCTCACACTTAGGTCTTTACACAGATACTCATTGGCGCCGGTGCCGCGGTGACTGTGTCGTATATGTTCGTGTTGGTCATGGAAGAATGAATGCTCTTACGAATTGTTTTTTTTTAAGCATAGGGAGTGGGGATTATGCAGGCAATGTCAGATCGCTTCCGTTGTGGCCAAAATGCGACTCCTAACAAGTCCCTTAGAAGCGATGGCTGTGAACTAAATAGAACAGTTGAAACTCATCGATCCCATTAACCACGTGGTCTGACTGTACCGGGAGGATGACTGAAAGTTGTAAATGCGACACCTGGGGATAGTCACTTGAAATGGGTGACCAACTGCTTGTGTTCGGAACCTATGAGGAAGAACAAGCGAGAGATAGATAGAAGATGCTAGTTCAGTAAAACCAAATCCAAAATAGTATCGGTGGAATATGAAAAAAGACGTGATTGCTCGATGGTAAGTTAGCGATTGGAATTTACATGTTAGGGACTGGTCGTTGATGAGACGCTGAATCCCCCATCGAGAAGAGTTAGGGATGAGGATAAAGCTCCACCCAACACATGATTACAGTATTCAGATGTAGGCCGAATCTGAGCTTTATAAAGCGAGAGTAGGTGAATTACGGTGAAGAAACATTTGGCGCGGGAGAGTAAGTCGATTTTGTTCGCAGCTTGAGATGTAAGTAGATAAATATGTCGTAACCCTAAAATAGAAGGAGAGAGGGATATTCCCTGTGTGATATCGAGAGTGCTCGAGTTTAAATTTACTCAGAGAGAAAGATTCGTGTTTAAGAGAAATGCATATGCGGGAAGCTTTACTGGTGTTAAAGAGAACGCGCTTGAGATTGCCTCAGGCGGGAATATGGCCGAGATCGGAATTTAGGGAGAAAGGGGAGTTCGGAGTGGTCGTGGTTAATGCTAGAGTTGACGGTGCGTGAGGAGGAATTGGACAAAGAAAAGTGTAAACAAGCTCCATCACCAGAATTTGAAGTCGAAGAACGCGTATGTGTGATCGGTTTGGTTTG